CACACACACACACACACACACACACACACACACACACACACACACACTCTTTGAGCCCTAAGTGCAATAAACATGAATTCAAGTTGAGCGTCTCCTTACCTTCTCTGTGGACGGCGTAGGGATGCTGGTAGGGCTTTGCTCTCTCCATGGCCAGTTTCCTCTGGACTCTGGGCAATACCTTGCCATACTGGTCCAATATCAAGTTCCTGGTGTTGGACCGTTCTTTAAGCTTTGGGTCTCGCTCATTCTAGGAACAAAGAAGCAAGAGACAGAAGTGGTTATAAATCGAATGGGATGCAAGTATCTTCTTTCTATATAATCATATAGTGACAGTGATGCACAGGAATTTCATATTTGGATATAGCATGTCTAAATCGATAACAATTCATTAATACAGTGGATTCTGAATACTATAAATGTCACATACTGTATATCAAGATACTGCTGTGAGAATTAGTGTAATGCTATGCATGTGTGTGTGTGTCAAACATACCACCATGTTCATTTTGAGGCTGTGGTTGAGCTGCAGGGCAGGAATGTAGTTGGCCTGCTGAAGGTAATGAACCATCAGTAGTTCTCTGTTCTGGAGACCGCCTGTACCCTGGAGAAACTTCTCCAAACTCTCCTGAAACACAAGCCCAAGACCCAAGAGTTTTAGGCATCCACTTTATATGCAAAAACACCAGGAAAGGTGAATCTAAAAGCAGAATAATGACAGGTTAGGTTTTTAAAATCTCTCTCATCTCTCTCCTACCTGCTCAGTGAGGCCCAGGGGCAGTTTGAGCAGCTCCTTGACGAGGCCCAGCTCCTGGCAGCTCTCATACAGGAAGCCCAGCAGCTCTCCCATGTTGAGGCGATTTGAGTGCTGCCGTAGCAGGGACCACGCCTCTATGAGACACCTGGAAGGAAACACTGCGTTAATAAAAGGTAAGACAGAGATAAAAACGAGTCATTGGATTGCCGACATGCTCGTTTCCTTAAACAAAAAGCCTTTTTCTTGCCCGTGTTTCACATATGCATACGTTTTACTGACAGCAGAAACTGCTGGTATTGCTGCACAGTGTCTTTTCCCTTTGCTCTTACCTGTTGTGTAGCAGTACAGACAAACAGAGTTTGGCCTGGGAGGTGGAGGAAATTGGGGGCTTCGTAACGTGGAAGTATCGCAGTGCGACTGAGTGTTGGCCCTGGCACATCAGTGCTTGTAGGACACGCTCATGCTGCCACTCAAACTGACACTGAGAGGCAGCTGGATGCAGGAGCAACTCGAATGAACTCTGATCAGGACAAATAAGAAAAAGAAAGCATACAATTTGTCAGAAGAGGTCATAATAATATTAATAGTATGTGTCATTCATGTTTATACAAATGTTAAAATGCTAATACTGATGTTCCATTTCTCTTTAAATACAATAAAACTCTTTTGTCTGGCACAACCTCTCTGTATTCAAATTTACATCTTAAAAAAGTCAGTCAAATATTCAGCCGGTGTGTACCTGGTGGTCACGATGGTCCAGCAGCCAGAGGCCTTGTACTAGTTTCACAAGTCCAATAGGGATTGCAAAAGCTGGGGGGAAAGACTCCACTGAACTTCCCTCCTTATTGGGGAAGGAGTACATAACATCGAGCAGCAGGTAAATCACCTGGAACAACAGGTCAAGGCTTATACATGCAGGAGGCTTAATCATGAGTGTAACATTTACAACTATGGCCGAGGTTACTTGATTGAAATCTTAACATGGTTTTGAATGTTGGATGATTAATTTTACAGTTATTAAAAAAAAACTGCAAAAACATATGAATGGAAAACAATCATAAATAATCTAATAAAAGCTGTGATCTTAAATCTGACTGTTTTTACATAATGAAACCAACATGATACAAAAAGAGTCATTACATACGTTCTTTTGTGTAATGTTAAAACAGTGACACGGCTTCCTAGAGCTGTACACTCACAAAACATATTTTAAACAAGCAAATAAACAGCTGAAGCAGCAACCCCTGAATTGCAAAAAAAAAAATCCTGGAGCTGGCCATGGCTGACATTAACATGACTTTATGACACTAATAATTAAAGGATACGAGTGCATTTTTAGCAGCTTCATCAATATTGTCCAGTAGATAAATGTCCAACAGGGCCTGTGGATAAAAGAGGTATAAACTCAAGTCTTCACACACGGTAAAAGAAACAGATGCAAACTCGATTTGATATAGATTAGACGGTACATAATAAAATTAGTGCTGGGCAACGATTAAATATTTAATCGTGATTAATCGCATGGATTTTTTGCGATTAATCGCGATTCATACTTTGTTGGCATCTTATTCTGAAAACCGGATGTTCGTCTGAAGAAACCGGATGTTGTCTCACGTTAACCTTTCCACTAACTTTCAAAGTCCTTCGCTCGCTCCCGATCTGTGCCGTTTAAATGTGTTTACCGTGAATTTCAGCATATAGGTGCACTAACATGTAAGTGTCTGCTGAGTTGACCACGGAGATCATTCTCCCCCCCCCCCCCCCCTCTTAAAAAAGGCTCAAGGACATACACACACATGTGCGTACACACACACACTTGCGCACACACACACGTACGCACACACACACGTACGCACACGTACGCACACACGTGCGCACACGTACGCACACACGTGCGCACACGTACACACACACCTGACTATAGGATGTTTGCTGCCTTTTATCCCACTGTTCTTGTCATCCTCTTGTTGTTATGTATATGTATTGTCTCTTGTCTTTCAATAAAAATAAATAAATAAAAAATATATATATATATACATATATAATAAATTTTAAAAATGTGTTAACGCGCGATAAAATAATTGTCCGCGTTAATTGATGAAGGCGTTAACGCGAAATTAACGCGTTAACTTGCCCAGCACTAAATAAAATTAATTATAAATAAATAAGTTCATGCTTACGTGCAATGTAGGTGGTGGGTATTGCCCTGTCCCACCCTCATCCCTCTTCCACAGGTTGGTCAAGCTTTCGCCACACTGGCCAACCAAACCATCGATCATCAGGCAGTCTGCACACCACTTGCCCCTGAGGAGACCACGGAGTGTGTCGGCATTAGATCAACTCAGACTATCATCATCATCCAAAAGTAACGGGTATTATTTTTGAAAATATTGGTTAGCTGCAGTCTTAGATGTGGAATATTATGTGACATTCTTCAAGCAAAGAATACTCACTTAGCCAGCCTGGTGAGCTCCTCTCTGCGTATTGTATAATAGTTGCTGATGACTGAGTGAGTGTAGAAAGGCCTGGAGATCTGGAGAGCATCGTCGTCTAATGGGGAGAACAATTACAAAAAAAATTTAAAGAAAAAGAACCTCAACTGTAATGAATAATTGTTTACAGCAGCCAGGCTTTTAATGAGCGACACCTCATGCAGCCAGCTAAGGCCTTGAACTTTACTCACTTGCTCTGAGAAATTGTTTTGTGTGAAATTGCCAGTAAGATTTCCCAAATAATGTTTATGCCAGCAACAGCTTACCTGATCCTTCAGGCAGCAGACCGGTACGACAGAACCAGAGCACCACCTGAGCGTACTTGGAAATCAGACTAGAAACCAAGTTCTTGTTCATCAGACCCGCCAGACCTACACCACAAAAGAATAAGCAAAACAACAACTTCTTGGTTGCTTGATACGGCTGATCAAAGATATATCTTAAAGTGTATCAAACCATAACGATATCAATTTATTGAAATCAGTAGACATTAAAAAAAAACACTTGCACGAGTGTTCTTACAGTTAAACACAAATGGGAAATGAGAAAAACAGGTTTGTGGGCTGGCTGAACCTGTTTTCACTGACATCACAAGGAAACATAACGCTTGCTCATGTGACTGTGAGGATATTGCACCTCTTTGTGTGAGCTCCTGGGCTTCACTGAGCAGACAGTGGAAGATGGTGCTGAGGTTACTGAGCAGTCTCTGGCTGTGCTGGAGCAGCTGCATGGTCTGAGGGTCTGTGAAGTTGGATGAGCTGTCAAACAGCGGTGCACCTAGAGAACACACACACACACACACACACACACACACACACACACACACACACACACACACACACACACACACACACACACAAATGTATTAACAAATTGCAAACAGCATTGAAATAGGAGGAAACAGGAGGGATTCATATCATGTAAATAACGAATCATTTACAATATCGACAAATAGACAAGGCGGACATTTACTCCTTGGTTAAATAATACTGGACTGTAAAAGATGAAGTAGTCACTAACCTGAATTTACCGTGCCAACATATTTGATCTAAAATATTCAAATGCATCACCCGAGTGGTCACAAGCTGCCAAATATAAGGTTTGTCAGATGTCCAGTTCTTGACAAACACTTACATTTATTAAGACTTAATAAGATCATCTTGCAAATCCAAAATTTATCAATGTTAAAAAAAAGTAAACATTTTATCATTTTTAGTATTGTGTAGACTGCAGAATGGATTTACAAAATTAAAAAAAAAATTACTGTCTAAACAACATTCTATATAATTCAGAATGTAATTTGATTAAAAGTATAAAATGATATTTAAACATACAGATGCCATCCAGTTCCTCCTTGGTGTGAACCACTTTGTTCCAGGCCCAATCCAGAATGTAGCGCAGGTTCAGTGCAGAGCCCGGTTGTTCTGTTTAAGAGGGACAGAATTATAAGCTTTAGAGTTGACTATATTTATGTAGAGGGACTTAGCAAAGATGTAAAACTATGAGAGTGTCTATGTGTGAGATGAAGCCAGAGAGAGAAACACTGAGCCAATGTCTTCACCACATATTTGCGGGCGTGGTTGCTATGAGTCTTGATCAGCAATATAAGAAACAATTTGACAGTTAAATAAGAATGAGTCCTCACCTTCTGCAGTCCACTGCTTGATACAGCCAGTGATCAGTCCCAAGGAGCTGGTCTCCACCGCTGTTGACAGGATGGCATCCAGCTGCTCCTCCTGAGGGTCCAACATAAAGATACAAAAAGGTACAAATTAGTATCAAAACTTCTGAATACATATTTCTGTAATGTAAACTAAAAGAGAGCATTCAAAAGCACCAAGAACCCCTTTGTGTCAATAAGTACTTCTGGAGACCAAGATGTCAGCTTAGTGGTGTGTGTGTGTGTGTGTGTGTGTGTTTGTGTGTGTACCTGAGAGAGGCTGGAAGCCTGAGTGTCAGCCAGGCGAGATGAGAGCAGGCCGGACATGAGGCAGCGAGAGTAGCTAGTGGAGATGATGTCACTGGAACAGGGAGCAGCTTTCTTCAAAAAGCTCAGGGTCTGGTGTCAATGAAGATGGTGCGGTGTAATAGAAGCCTACTTACATTATTCACATATTTACATCCTACTTCAATAGTAAATATTGTGTAGTCTCAGTGATAAACATCATATACTAATTAAAAAACAAGAACACAAAGAAAAGGCTGTAGGTTGAAGTCTACATTTGAAATGATATAAAAACTAGTGGTGCAACGGTTCAACAATCCCACATTTTGGTTTGTACTGCAGTGTTTGGGTCACGGTTGCGGTTTGCTTTGCACATTAGTGAGAAGAAAAACCAAACGTTCTGTTCATAAGTCACTGATATAATACAGCGACAAATTCACCTTTTTATAATTTGGATCGAATGTCATAAAATTTATGTTGAGATACAAATTTGTATTGATAGAAAAATCAAAACAAGAGACTTGCCTCTTTCTGATACCCAGAGCAGGTGAAGTGCACAATTCCAGAGTTGAGCAGGCACGTAGCATCTGTAACATGGAAGCGGGGAAAAAACAAATCAACCGTATTAGTAAAATTATATTTCAACTACAAACCCGGGCATGTCTGCACAAGAAAATTCCAGATTTATACAAACAGGTAACATCAATACACAGCGATAGAACCTGGAAAAATGACAGACCTGGAAGATGATTTAATATTACATCTTTATAATTTCTCCGTATTATGTGATATATTGTGATACATATATTGTCACCACCTACCAAAGTTATATGTGGTGGGGTTAAAGTACTGTTCTGGTGGGGGGCAGGTGAAGGGCAGGCCCCTGCTCAGGCTGCGGTCGTGCACCACCACATCCAGGAGGACATGTTGAGACACCATCTGCACCACTGGGTCCAGAGACCAAACTGCCAGGTAGGGACAATTTTGCAGAGACTCTCCAGTTCTGACAAGAACACACAGTGGAAAAACAGTGTCACAGTAAATCAACCAAGAAACTTCTTATGAAGTTATGAATTTAGTCTCCAAGATACCTCAAAGAGTCTGGCATCTGTGCGTGGTACCAACGGTTGATGTCAAAAACCCCTATGTAGGTAGATGGGGTTCCCTGACCATAGACCTTGACTTGCCAGCTGAAGATAGACACACTGGTGTCCGGAGATGCAACTGTAATTTGGGTGATGAGGGAGGAGGGAATGAGTGAGAGGAAGGGAGAAAAGTGTGGATGATCGCTGAAGTGTTTAAAAAAAATAAAGGCAGGTAAGACAACTGAAAGGAAGTAGATACAGTATGCAAAAAAGGGAGACAAAGAGTAGAACTTTTCTCCATCGTGCAGTAGATAGTTGTAATAGAAACAGTTTATTGAGATCACACAATGGTATAACCGTTTCAATTGTCCATTATTACTCCTTTGACAACACTGGCAATGGCATAGCATTAACCATTAAACTCTGATTGGAAATGCTTAAAACCTGCACTAATAGTGCTTAAAACCTGCACTAATTGGCTCCCTACATACTCATATCTTCCATAGGTAGTTTCAGGGGAAGCAGGCTAACCTTCATTCATGCTGTCATCCCTGTCAGGGTGGGGTCGGAACTTCTCGATGGTCTGGCAGCTCAGCAGGCGGGTGTTGGTAGCCTGGGTCCTGAGAGGGAAAGCTGTGCCACTTAACTCCTGACTGTACCGCTCCTCGCAGTACTCCAGACCCTGAAAGACCCAAAGTTAAGGAGGGAGGAGAGTAAATAAGGAAGGTAATTGTAGAGTAGATTTGCTAGGACTGCGACAGAACCAGACAAAGTGAAGATTTCACTAAGGGAAGAAAATGGAGAGAAACTATTTGTGCAATGTGTGGAGTCATTATTTTAGGCACTACAGACCTCATAGAGGATCTTCCCAGAAGTCAGACACTTCCTTTCACTGAAGGCCATCTGAAGCAGGCGGAGGCTGACCATATCTCCCTCACTGTGTGGGAGTGAGAGGAAGCAGAGGGAAAAAATAAGAAGTTGGCAAAAACAAAAACACACACTTTGCCTGGATGGAGTCCTTAGAAACACAAATAATGTCAATTTACAAGAATCTCATGCTTATAGAGCCAAAATGTAAGCCGAACGTCCAGGTCCTGTTCCATAGGTAAGAAACCTCACGGTCATTTTATAAAAAGCAATCTCTAGCGGCCTTTAACAAACTCTATTTTCCATAAACCCTTCATTATTTCAGACTGATGAAATAAATGAATGAGATATTGATTTGAGTTACAGAAGCTAGTGGAGCAGCTATGTGACGCCATGACTTTGCCTGTTAATATTCAAAACAAAGAACATAGTGAAACTGAGTTTCTTATGTAAGACTTACAGGTCCTGAGAAGACTGGACAGCCCAGAGGTAGCAACAGTTCCTGGGGTCATTTTCTGGCTCCTGAAAGGTGAAGGCATGCACAGGCACCCTGCCACCCTCTAACTGGGAGTGGTATCTACACATGAGAGAGATCAAACACAAATGAACATACACATGATACTTTTTTGTATTTAAAATGTACCTATCAATGGTATTCTTAAAATAACAATGTAGTAAAATACAAAAACTCACTCCTTCTTTAGGGTTTTCATGTTCCACAGCTGTAAGTGTCCATCTGAAAACCCCACAGCCAGCTGGTTGGTCCTGGAGATATACTGCAGAGCTGTGGCTCCAACTCCACTGGGCCCATGAAGCTGGAGACAAAGATGTCTGCCCTGCCTGGTGCTGACTTCTCTCAGCCGAGGGATCTCGGCAGGAGATTTGGTCACTACCTGCAGGTCTGGGAACGCAGAGAAAATTTTTAGAAGTTTTAGATAGAGAAACAAACGTGTGTGGCAGGAAAAAACATACAGCAAGACATAAACATGCAAACACAAATAAACCCAGCGCTTCGTCACACAAGCTAATCACCTGAAGACTCCAGTTCACTTTGGCTGCAGGACAAGTCGTCGAGACAGAGGTCCACAAGCAGAACATGACCGAGATCCGTTACAACAGCAGCAATGCCAAAGAACCAGCGTAGACTCTGGTGAAGATGCTGCGTCGAAGTGCTTGCTCCGCCATAACTCACTAACGGCTCAATAGCTGTGATCTAAAGAGGAAAGAAGGGAAAAAAAGACAGATGTTGATGAGGTTTGGATGGATAAGATATGTTTTTAGTTTGTAAATACACATTTTGAATTTATCAATCTCTACTTTATTATCGGCCAACACAAAAATCTGCTCTTAAAACAACTAAAAAAAACTACAAATTCATCTTTAAGGAACAATGTCAATAACCAGAATATAAAGCTGTAAGCTGACATCAAGAAATGAGGTGTTACTATGTGAAGTGACTATGTATGTAAAGTGTACCTAAATATTTGCATGTGCTGTGTTAAGTTCTTTTTTTGAGAGTTCATTGTAAAGACTTGTAAAGCAAGCATTAGTCTGGGTCAGGTTGCTTGCAATTATTTTCCCTTACAAGAGAAAAGACACAATTCTTAATGTTAGCAATGTGAAAAATATGTCTGATTTCTTAAAAAAAAAACATCTTCTACCTCCTTGGACTGCTCAATCATTTTGTATATTCTAATGACTCAACTTAAACCTGGGATATGTCGCTCCAAGAATTTAGCATTCACATTCAAAGCATGAGACCAACTCTACCAGATAAGAGTAGAGGAGACCTGAAGCGCCGCCAACTCACCCTGCCTGGTATAACCACAGCTTTAACCACCCTCGACAGTCCCAAGTCATAGAGACACAGCACGCTGCCCTCTGCTTCCTCCAAGCCAACGAGTAATCCAGACCTAGTAACATAAAAAACAGTAAAGGAGTTAGCTTTTGACATTTCCTAAGCACCGTCATTAATATCTAAAAATCTAGTAGTAGTTAATAGTTAATTTCGATTGATTACAATCCACATCAAAGAGTGATAAAGACATGAATAGTAAGAGACAGCTCTGACCTTTTGAGCCAGCTGAAGTCCTTGGCTACGTGGACACAGGGTGGGTGCTCGCCTCCACCGCTGAAGCAGTACGCAGACAGACGTTCTCCTGTCACTGCATGGACAACCTCCAAATGGGGGCCACAGGCCAGCCAGGCCAGCCCGCTGCGGCCTTCACACACAGACAAGGAAATGAAAGGTAAGGGGGTTATGATCCAGGACTATCACCAAGCTAGGTTCCATTTAAACAGAAGTAAACAGCTAATGAGTTAACATGCAACCTGCAGCCATTTGTAAAAGCTGTTCTTAAGATACAACTTAAATCTAAGCATCACTCATTTTAAATGGAGCAATCCAATTTAGCACATCAGTCATTTGAAACTACACTGTTTTACTTGTGTACCTATTTGCCATTGCAACTAAGGATGGAGGGAAGAAAATATACATTTATAGGGAGTATTGATCAGTAAGGCTTACCAACAGTGAACTTCCCATGTAGCACAGAGTCGAGAGTGATCTCATCCTCCCCGAGAGCATCTTTAGTAACTTCTGGGAACGGCAGCAGGCTGCTGGTGACTTGGGCAGTCAGGTCATGCATTGTTCACTGTACAAACAACAACAACACAGGATATACAGTATGTTAGAAACACCCTGCCCTAGATACGTTCATCAATAAGTTCAAGTACAATGATAACCTGTGAAAAACTCTTTTTGAGCGCTTCCTACGCTATAAAACTACTTCGGGCTTTATCTGCTCGACAGGCTTTTACAGCACAAAAGAGGTCTTTCTTTCAAACCACAGTTGTCAGGAAACACGCTGTCAGCAACCTTGCTGACAACTGGTCCTGCAACTGGGTTTGCTTTCTAATCAACAACAACCCAGGACATACTGCTACACATCTGTTTGCAGATGTGACTTCTGACACTGAGTTCTGATAAAGTGCTAGAATAAAGCACTATTCAAATAATTGTTCAAAGAAACCCCAGTGGATTATTTTATCCCCTCTCAGACTGACTGATGATGCCCATACATTTTTAATTTATATTTTTTTAAATCTTTTTATCTGTTCCGATTTAACAAAACCGTGATATGTCAACAGTACTGAATGAATAAAACAAAATTATTACATAGTTGCCAGCTTCACACGTTGAGAATAACAAATGCCTATATTTAAATGATTTAAGTTAAGCTAAAAAAAACAAAACACTTATCTGAAAACATGTTAAAACATGTTTGTGTGTTTTTTTTTTTTTAAAGATTTGCTTATAGCTGATGTCATTAACTCTGGTACATGTTTTACCCTGTGTTGATTTCTATTTACGCTTTTGTTATTACCATTTCTAGTCTGTAAATGTGTATGATGCCCATCGGCCTTGTTGTTGCACTAGTGCTCATACAAGATAATATTATCTCCAGCAGTATGGTAGACACTGTGGAGCTTTCAAGGCTAAATCGACCTGAATAGAAATGTGCCCGTCAGTTTCAGTGTGCTAGATTAGACCCAATACTGCCCTCTGTGACCACAGGGCAGAGCACACAGTGGATTCAAGTGAACTCCCGCGCAACGAGCCTGCCACTACGCAGCCACATGCCATGACGTGAAATCAACATGTGGACAAATTATAAAAATGACCAACTATACAGGCACATTGATGCACTTAGAAGCGTGGCCGCTATGTTACAGACTATTGACAAATACAAAGATTCCACAACAATTAACATTATTAAAACATCAAATCTGGTTTCAGCAAATACAACGTCAAGCGTTCACGTGTGTCAGTATTAGCGCGTGACAACCCGTAAATAACTCTCGCCACTTTATGCAACTTTCAAATGTCATTGTCAAATGTATCAGACGATATTTGGACGTTGTGGAGGGTTAAACGTCAGTTAACTGGCTAACCTGAGCTCGTTTAGCATCTGCAGAGTGGAGATTAGCTTCATCAACTGCTGCTTGACATGATGTAAACAAACCAACCATCTCTTTCTTTAGCAATGTAATGTACATTGCTGTTAAACACCGGCCACAATAGCAACATATGGTTAATATGCTAATGTTATTTAGTGCGGAATAAGGTCTGGTAGCTGCCTTAACGTAAACACTTCTTTCAGTTCATTAGTGAGCTACCTAGTTAGCCTGCAAGGTCACGCAGAATTACAGTTTATCCGAGTTCACCATTTAAATTAAGATAGTTGGCCCAGATATATGCATACATGGTAGTACTTATTTCACTTTAAGTGTGCCGTTAACTTATTAGATACGTGCTCCACCAAATCAACTAACTAGCTGATTAACATTTAACTCTAATGCTAGTTGAGTCTGGGCGGCTAGCTACAGGAGCTACGTTGCTACTTTCGTGTTATTAGCTCGCGTTAATGTTAGCAAAGCAGTGAGTACGTTAGCGTTGGTTCTTCCGTGACAACCTGGAGAAACGTTACTATTTCACCAGAACCAACATCACACTACTCTTGTCTTTAGCTAACATCGCTTGAATCTGGTAATTTAAGCAACGTTACAGGTAATTCAGTGGTCTCGCTTTAGCTTTAGCTGGAACAGTGCAAACGTAACATTACTGTAGTGTAACGTTAGGCTAGCAACACAAAACTCACTAAGCTAGCTTGTAGCCAGTGGCAACATCGCAGTACAGCCGATCTTCGTTTAGCGACCGGTCAACTCTTACTGTAGCGTTAAATCTTTTAGGAGGATTTATGCAACACAAGCGAGTTTGGTGAGCTAGCTCCGTTGGATCTCTCTCAGCTACGCGTGTGAACGTGATGCAATGTGCCGCTAGCTGCTACCGACGTTAAGTTACCTGTCTGAGGATGTCGACGGCTTTATCAGAGCCACGAGTGTTTTGTTTTTCTTGACGAATCTCCCGATTACTTTCCCCCTCTGTCATAATCCGCTCCTTCTCATGCGTAGAGCCCTCTGGGCGCTTCAATCGACTGACAAGCACGATATGCTCCCTCTGACTTCAGGCTTCCACAACGCGTAGCGCCATTTCCACGATTGGAAAGTGCTCCATGAACTTCTTCTTCGTCGGTGTTGGGAGAGTGAGCATGGCGATCACTCACTGCTGCCCTCTTCGGGTTCGGCGTGATTCCTGCTTACAAAATTACGGACTAAAATCTAAATGACTTACTGCTACTTTCCCACTATCCACTGAAATCAGTCATACTTCCTTTGTTCACAATGTTATGGTAATCAATCACTAACCATGCTATCATCAATTGTTGCACAATAGATAGTCGAATTTACGTTTATATAGTTAGAAATCATATGAAATGTGGGCTTAAAGACCCACAACATCAATGTTTAACAACCCATATCTTTGAGAAGGCAGGTACATATTAATTTAAAGAAAATCAATGACATCTTCTGGGTCTCAAATGTAGGAAATAAATGTTTACGTTTATAAACCTCCACTGCGTCTAACCATACAAATGAGACAGAATAGCAAAAGAGGTGGGATTAAGGTAAACTATGGTGATCTGTTCATGTATTCATATATATTAAAACTTGTCAAAGATCATGTAACCTATTTCCCAAGAAGCCTACTGAAGTCACATCAAGAGTCAAATGGGTATTGTTGAAATCAAATGTGACAGTTTTATGCTAGAAATTTTCGAAGAAAAACATTAAAAGCATGTTTAAAAGGACAAAAGTAAAGACTAGAATAAACCTAAGCAGCATCTCTATAAATATAAATAGGCTAAAGCACATTATATTTACATTAAGACAACGATATAGAGTGTGTGATGACAGTACCCAAATAGCGTACATCAGTAAAAAAACTGATGGTGCAAAGAATAGCAGAGAGTCTGATTCAAGAATGATGCCATCATAATCTTTGCTCAAGTGGCACTTTCATATTGCACTGGCAGACTCGGGCTGTCTGAGGGGCAGGGGCGAAAAATATATAAAGGGCACCAGCTGAATGTGGAGCATGTATTGCAGAGGTAGATTACATAAATTACAATGTTTACAAATTTATACCGAGGGGCACCAGCAGGTATAAACATAATACTACATAATAAATAGCAGAACATGTTAGGCAACATCTCTATGGGAAATATGACCACAATGGTTAATGAATAAAGTATAAAAAGAAAATTCTAGGCCAGTTTGTGGGGCATGTATTGCAGAGGTAGATTACATACATTACAGTACCTTATAATTTGTGATGGTGTTGGGATAAACAGTCTCGCATCCAGAGAGGAGACGATGCCCAGTAGTCTGATAGTGTGGCAGCAGATACTCTTGTACTGCAACACGCAGAAGGATGAAAAGACTGTGGCAGACACTTCATCTCATCCGTGACAGTGATGTAGGATATAAAGGTGCCAATTATGTTTTGACATTTGACCAAAGCAGTTTCAGTTTTTTCTTTTTTTTTAAACCCCGAGTTAAAAGATTGAACAAGAAACAATACCCAGATGTGCTGTTACAGTGCTTATCAGCATTGGCCATTGGCTGTGTACCAAATACTTTACATTATATGATGGCAGTGTAAGATGTTTTAAATAATTCCTTTTTTAAACAGTAGACATTTTCAGTAGAAGAGTTCATTTTTGGCCCGAGGCCCTCTAGTGGTGGGACCGCTGGCTCAGTATGTACTGTATTGTGATGACGATTGTGTTGAAAGGTGTTGTTTATTTGCCACTTGTCGATCCTTTCGTGTGTGAAAGCCTTTACTCTGGGACAAAATGGTTTATTTAAAAAAAAAAAAAAAAAGCACACAAGCATATACAGACAGCAATTCATGTTTCTTGTACATTAATGTACAAGAAAAGCTCTGTGACGGATCTGGCAGTGTATATATTTTCAGTAAACAGTTACATAATTGTTAAAAGTTAGGGGATCAGATTGTCTAACATGTGTTATCATTATTACTGTCGACGTTTTAACACCAGAGTCCCCCCTTTGAACAGCTTTTCAGCAATTTACACTATTGCAACTTAAAAGGAGAGTTGGATTAATGCAATATGATTCATCATTGATTATAAGGCACACAAAAACTGCTTAATTGCCTTTGAAAAAAAAAAAAAAAAAAAATCTGAAAAAAAATAGGTTTCCTGTTTTACAATACTCAGTCGGCTAACTGATGGGGTCAGAGAATAGCGCAAGTGAAGTATTCTGAAGCTTTGATTTTTTCTTCATCTGCCGCTCAATCATCAAGTCAAACTCCTGCCTTTCTCTGAAATGAAAAATAAATGGAAAATAACAGTCATATTCAGTGTAAAAAATGTTCCCTTTCAACCATGACAGGTTATCTCATCAAACTCTTACCTGTTACTTATGCATCGTCCTTTCAGGTACTTTTCTTCTGCCTTTTTTACTGTGACATTGTCCACCCCAGCTATGGCATAGATGATGGCCTGTGTAGGAGGACAATAATGTTACACACCTAACACCACAACATAAACTGTGAACTGCATATTAAAAAAAAAACCCTCAAAGCTTTAGCTCACCTCAGGAAGAAGCACATCCAGGACAAAGGGGACACGCTGCATGGATTTCATCTCCGCCAGTAAAGGGGCGGTGACCCCGGCAGTTGCGTAGAGCTCATTCAGGTACAAGTAGACCTGGTCCAACTGCTGGTCATCTTCCAGGTACACGTTCACCACTCGTCTACGATTGGCACTCAGAAAGGAGCGAAGCCATCTGGACTGCTGCTCCCCACGGATCACAGACTGTAATGAGAGTGACACAGGAAGGGTGCGTTTATTCATCTAGGGACTCATCTAGAATGTTCTTAGATGCCTATTAACCACATTTAGTCTCTTTTCACAACATTAAAATCACACAGCGGATGGTCATAATTAGAGAGATTACATGGCTCTGACAGAAGAATGCACCGACACATATTTTCTTCATATACGTGAATACATATACCTACGTATACATAAACAGATTCCATTATTCATACCAGAAGGCGTCTTTCCACCATGCGCTGCTTTACGATGAAATGTACGAGCTTCTCATTAGCACGGTTGTGGGCGGCATGACTCCGGTCTGGCAGCAGCCTCTTTGAACTCCTGCTGACCACCTCACGCTGTTCACTAAAGCGGTCCTCCTTATGATCGTCACACAGCGCCTCCATCGTTGCATCACTGGCGATGGTTAGTCTCTCGGAGGCTGCTTGCGGGTACTTTCTCCTTACTGGATAGCCTGGAGTGCAGGACAGGCAGTAAAGAGCATGTCAGGACCAAGTATGGATGCAGATTTACTTAAGTTTGTATTTTGCCATGCCATGTTTCAGCTTTTCTCATTCACTTTGACTCAATTCTTAAATGAGAATTGTTTATTTTTTTAAACAACGTTAAAAATAAATAAATAAATAAATATTTAATTTTTTGAATTTCTCATTCATTGAAGAAAATTGCACGTTTTGGCACAGGAGTGAAAACGAGTAAGTTATCTACAATCTGCACAATAACCACTTGCACATGGCTTGCTGGTCAAAACTGATGAGTTGTTTCTCAGTGAAGCTGTCTTACTCATCACAACTTGATCTGTTCAATTATCAAAGTCTTTTCATGTTAATTACTGGAGCATATAATGCATATGACAGAGATGCACTCATCAACGTCGGAGAAGGAAGCGCGGGGATTGGCTAAAGTGCAGCAGACGTTGAGACGATCACCGCCCACGGCATCTTCCGACCACCCAGCCAGACCAAACACCACCAAAAGGTGGAGAAGAGTCAAAATGGAAGCAAAGCCAACCCAGCTAGGACTTAAGGCTATTCCGCTATCCAGCCTACTCCAGTCGCTGGAGAATAAGATGGATGAAAGAAGACCTCGGGGCAACCCTGAAACGGGAGGTCCCCGTCTGTCGTGCCCACAGCTTTACAGAGACCTGGCTCCATGGCATCCCGGATCCGGGCAAATCACAGGACAGAGCACAGGAAACGTTTATGGAAATATTAAAATGCCGGCCATATTATCGGCGCAAACCTGTGCATAATGACAATAAATTATCCTTGAATCTAATACCACATGGTGTTACGTACTGTGAGGAGGTACAATTAAGTCTTTTTTTTTTTATATGGAACTGCCGCGGTTTCTTTCTCCATTGTTGCAGCTTATTTTGGCATGGATGTCATTTCGTGGAAATGATCTGTTTATAACACGAAAGATTAAAAGGTGAATTCTCATTCAACCTTTCCAAGGGTTGACTGCCATGGTGAAAAAAACTTCTGAAACATTTTGACCAGGACTGCTCGCATGAAAATAACCTTTCATTTGTTTGGCATTGACCAATTTACTGAAACAATTAGTAGGATTTAAAGCATGAATTAAATGTTTTGGGTGAGTTACTTCCTTTTGCAGACATGCAATAGAGTTGTGGTGTCCCATGTAACTGTCATAACAATTGCACTGATAGTTTGGAGAATGTTGAGACAGCTTCAAAAAAAATGAGCCAAAGCAATTGAGAAAAACAGAAAAAATGTTATACAACAAAACTTACTCATGTCATGAGCAAAGTACTCGATGAAGGAGCCACAAAATGAGCCACAGGCTACAAAGACAAAGCATAATTAGTATTGTGAATAATTCAGTGTCAGATAAATGCCGTTTCTATATACTGTAAGTATGTGAATATATAAATAATGCATATCAATATCACTGTCCTTTATCTGTTTCTATCTGCTTAAGCATTAAATAGACAAGACTTACCTATCCGTATTCTGTAGTCTGTTATGAGCTCCAAGGACCACTCAATTGCAGCATCATACTTCTCTTTGGCTTTAAACTTATTACAAATTCAATAAGAGAGACATATTGTTTGCCACTGTGTCAGGAAATTTTAGAAAATTGAGTGTATACTTTATGAGCGATCCTTACCCGTAGCTCATTGGCTTCTTCACAGTCAAAAGGCTTCAGAGTTTTCAGGGACACAGTAAACCTTCGAGAACAACAAACATACAGTAAAGTATTAAGTTCTGCAGAGAATTGATGGCCAAGGGACCCTCACAACCTACAGTGCAATCCTATACATTTTTTAAAATTCAGATGCATTCACCAACAAAGTAGTGAGAGAAAATGCACTTATTGCCTACCCTTTTTTGTGAATCTTTGGGTCATCAATGAACATGATGCTGGCTTTCTTCTGCTTACGGTTCACACTTTTCACCTGCAGACAAAGATAGTGTGTATTTTAAACATTTTAAACCATTAAGGCTTTCAGCGTTTGCCATTTTGTAAAGTCTTGACAACAGGTTTTTTCAGGTCATCAATATTTCATACCCATAATGGTCTTTCATTTAATTTCCCCAGAGAATGACATCACCCTTAAGTTGATGATAGAGTTTTAGTGCAGTGTTTATTAGTGCTAAAAAAGTAAACTTACCAGTTTAAGTTGTATGACAGAAAATTGATAAAGCAATTGAAGTCATTCAATGAGCAAATAATCACTAGCTCAAGCTTCTCAAATTTGAGGAATTGCTAATTTTCTGTATTATAGGCAAAAAATTAAAGCAACAAATTGTGTATTGTTCTATCTAAAAACTTCTGATAACTCACCAATGCCGGCCAAAATGGATAATGTCTAAATTTGTGCCACACAAACACTCCCTCTGTGATGGACGGGGGCTCTGAAAGAAGAAAAACAATCCACTTAAAGTATACAGCATGTACACACAATCCAAACCAGCTCTCGTCCGTCCTTGTAGAGGGTTACTTGAATTCAGTCACTGTCATCTCTCTCACTTTTGTCCACCTGCATCAAGAAACTTGGTAGCTCATCCTCCTCCTCTTCCTCACTTCCCTCATCTTCCTGGAAGGACAAAGATGGCAGCTGTTCCTCATGGCGACTCAGCTCTATTGATAGATCTGACGACAGCAAGGAGTCGTCTTTTTGGGGGGTGTAAAGGGTGGGGT